TATAAATATAAATATATAAATATAAATATAAATATAAATATATGTTCTATTAATAATAATAATTATAAATATATGTTCTATTCATGTTTTCAGGTGGGTTCTGCTGATTTAAAATCTGGTATCGAAAAGAATTGGATGGGTTTGGATGTCGGTCCAAAATCGATTGAACTATTTTGTGAACCTATTCGGAGGGCTAAGATTATCGTTTGGAATGGGTAAGATTTGTTACTTTAATTTAAATTTAAAATTAGCTTTTTTTACTCTTTGACAAAACGAATGAAAAATCAAATTTTTGATTTGTTTTAAAACTTTACTAAATATTGCATAATTTTTTTCTAACAAAATAACTCATAACCTCAATCATTTGTTCAAATATAACTAATATGGTTTAATTAATTAATTATATATGAGTATATGATTAATTTCACACTGATATATATATATATATATATATATATATATATATATATATTATAAAAGAAATTTGGCATTAAAATATAATTTTTTTTACAAATAACAAGTGTAACCATTCCTACATAACCTTATATTTATAAATTATTGAACTTTATATAATAGTTCATTTATAGAGTAAAGAATACGAAAAAAAAGAGAATAAATAAAACTTGTGAGACTTTTGAAAGTCTATTACTAGATTTTGCACAAATTATTACTAGATTTTGCAAAAAAAATAAATTGAGAGCACTTAACCTCAATCATATTTTGTCTGCTTAACGTTATATACTGATAATTTACTCATAAAAGGAAGTGAATCTTAAAAAAAGGGCACAAACTAAACTTTTGAATTGTTTAAAAATGTATTACTATGTTTTTGTGTTTTATATATTAGGCCAGCTGGTGTATTTGAATTTGAAAACTTCTCGAGAGGTACAAAAGCCATCATGGATGCTGTAGTTGATGTCACGAAGAAAGGAACTGTCACTATCATTGGTAAGAAATATTATTTTATCATCTAAAAAACCAAAACCTCAAATTTCATTTGCTTGTCTATAGAGTCCTTTTATAATTTCATTGTCATATATTGAATTTGCTGGTCAGTAGAGTCCCTTTTTTGTTTTAATTTAATTTAGTCGTCAGTAGAGTCTTTTTCTGATCATCTATCTAATTATTTATCTTTTTTTATTTAGTCGTCAGTAGAGTCTTTTTTTCGTTTTTCATCAAAATATTTATTTTGCTCGTCAGTAGAATCCTTTTCCAATTTTTTATCTAGATATTTAGTTTGTTTGTCAGTAGAGTCTTTTTTAATTTGATTCAGTTTGCTTGTTAGTAGAGTTCCTTTTCTAATTTTCTCTTATTATTCAATTTGCTCGTCAGTAGAGTCTGTTTTAATTTTCTCTACATTTTAAATTAGCTTTGATTCAGTTTGCTTGTCAGTAGAGTCCTTTTTTTAATATTTAATCTAGATATTTATATTTGCTTGTCGGTAGAGTCCTTTTTTTATTTTAAAATTTAATTTGCTCGTCAGTAAAGTCCATTTTTTAATTTCATTTAGATTGTTTGTCAGTAGAGTCCTTTTTCTAATTTTATATCTAAATATTTTATATTAATATGTAGAGTTTTTTTGACGTTTTCCATCAAGATATTTAATTTGTTCGTCAGTTGAGTCCCTTTTCTAAATTTCTCTCTTAGTATTCAATTTTGCTTGTCAGTAGAGTCTATTCCTAATTTCCTAATGAAATATTTAATTTGTTCGTCAGCAGAGTCCTTTTGCTTTAATTTGCTCGTCAGTAGAGTCCCTTTTTTTGCTTTATTTTAAAATTTAGTTTGCTCATCAGTAGAGTCCTTTTATTTTACTCCGCCATATTTTTTTTTGTACTTTTCTTCTTATTAGTTTGCTCACCAGTAGAGTCCCTTTTTATCTATTTATCTTTTTCCAGGTGGTGGTGACACAGCCACTTGCTGTGCAAAATGGCAAACGGAGCACCTGGTGTCCCACGTGAGCACCGGTGGTGGTGCCAGCTTGGAATTGCTCGAAGGAAAAGTGTTGCCAGGCGTGCAAGCACTCTGTGACAAATAATAAATATTTTAATTAAATTTTATTCATATATATATATATATATATATATATATATAAATTTTAATCTATCGATTTTATCTTTTATAATGTCTGCATTTATATTTTTATACCACGTTTCGATAAATATAGAATTTTAATAATGTTAAGGACTGTTTGTTTGAGATTCCATCATAAAATTCATTCATAAAAGTCCATCATGCGCGTTCGAATCACACGCATCGACCGAACAGCATAGATTTAAACCGCGGTTGGTGGGAAATGGTTGGTAAAGAACCGCGCGCTCGATCCATATACGAAGGTTCTAAGAGTGCCCTTGGCACCTCAAGACATAGACTGATGCCGCTGTTAAATAATAAGTTATTATTGTTCAAGGACTCGTTAAGAAAATAAAACTTTACTTAAAAAAAGGAACTGTGTAAAAAAAAGGAACTGTACTGACAATCAAAAAACAGTAAGTTTGAAAAGGAACTGTACTAACGAGCAAATTGAATCACATTTAGTTTTATTCTATTTTTGTTAGTTTTTCCCGTCAGTAAAGTCCCTTTCCTTATTCTTAGTTTGCTACGGTGCCACTAGAATGTTTCTTTTTATTTCGTTCTAATTCGCTTGTCAATTAAGTCCTTTCACTCTTACAGTTTGCTCGTCAGTCGAGTTCCGACTTTGTTCACAAATTTTGCTTATTTTTCTTAAAAGTTTGCTTGTTAGTACAGTTCCTTTTGCTTTTTAATTTTATGTCTACTAAAGTGTCAGGATGTTTCTCTTTTATCTTGCTTTAGTTTGCTCGTCAGTAGAGTTCTTATTTATTTTTCAACAGTAGAGTTCCTTTTACCTTTTATACCAGTTTGTTGGATTTTTTTGAAATTTCTAAATGGTTTATTCGCTCGGCAGTCGTTTTTCCTTGTATTTGAACTCGTTTGTCAGTAGAGTCCCTTTCTTCTTTTATTTATATTTGCGGATTGGAGAAAGAAACTCTACTGACAAGCAAACTGAAATAAAAAAGAAGAGAGACTGTACTGACTCGAATAATATAAAAAGGGACTTTACTGGCGAGCAAATTTAAAAAAGGTACTATTGGAATCTACTGACGAGCAAACTAAAAAAAGTGATAAAGGGACTCTACTGACGAGCAAACCGAAACAAAAGAGAAAATGACTCTTCCAACGAGCAAAATTTAATAAAAGAATAAGAGACTCTACTGATGATCAAAATTTATGAGAGGAATAAGGGACTCTACTGACAATCAAACAGAAAAAAAAAAGTAAAATACCCTCTCCTGATGAGTAAATCAAATGAAAGGAATGAAGGAACTCTACTTACAAATAAAATGAAATAAAAAATGGATTCAAAAATGTCAAATAAGAACTCCATTGGCGAAAAAAATCAAAAGACAAAAGAAACTCTACTGTCGAGCAGCAACAAAAAAAAGTTCTCTACTGATGAATAAACTGAAGTAAAAAAACGGGAGTCTACTGACGAAAAAACGGACTCTATTGACACACAAAATATCATCAGAGGAAAATATCAACAATAAGGACTCTACTCACAGACAAAAAAAACTATATTACATGGCGAGGAACATATGGGACTATACTGACAAGCAAAATGAAATTAAGAAGCAAAAGGGACTCTACTGACGAGGAAATCGGATTAAATTTGGAAAAGGGACTCTACTTACGAGCAAAATTAATAAGGGAGAAAAAAGTCTACTGATAAATAAATCGAAAAGAAACTCTACTCACGAGCAAGATTAAAGACAAAAAAGGATTCTACTGAAGTGTGAATTTAAATAAATGTGGAAAAATGACTATGTTGGCGAGCAATAGTTAAATAATGATAAAGGACTCTACTGACTGGGCAAAATTGAAAAAAAGAAAAGAATACGAGACACTACTGACGAGCAAACTGAAAGAAAGTGAAATGAAAAGAAACTCTACTGGTGAGCATAAAGTATTCTTACTAACTGCTCATCTGTAGAGTCTCAATTATTTGTTAATTCAGTTTATTCGTCAGTAGAGTTCTTTTTCTTTTGTTTTTACTCGTTAATTGAGTTTCCTTTTTTGACTACTGTTTGGTTGTTAGTACGGTACCTTCTTTTATTATTTTTGAACTTATATTAAACTTACAGTTACTTTACTTTGAATCAAATTAAACTAAATTTCCACATGATGAACAAACGGAACTCTACTGACGAGCAAAACATGATAAGAGTTAAGTAAACTTAATATTCAAAAAAGGAAAGAAGTGAGGACTCTACTGATGACCAAAATTGAATATTTAGGCAGAAAATTATAAAGAGGACTCTACTCACAAAATTAAATATGTGGATAGAATATAATGAAGGGGACTCTACTGACAAGCAAACTAAATATCTAGACAGGGAATTACAAATGGGACTCTACTGACGAACAAATTCAATATTTAGATAGTAATTAAAAAAGGGACTCTACTAGAATTTAAAAAAATCAAGAGAAATGGACTGTACTGACGTAAAATTTTCAAAAAATAGATAAAAAAGGAACTCTACTGACGAGCAAACCAAAAAATAGAAGGAAGGAAATTTATAAACAAACTAACTATAATAAAAGAGAAAAGGGACTATACTGACGAGCAAATCGAAACAAAGGGACAAAGGAACTCTACTATTATCTTTACTTTTTGACAAGGATGAGGAACTCTACTGTTGATCAAAATAGAAGAAACAAGAGAAAAGGACTCTACTGACGAACAAAATTTAAAAAAGAGAATTATTTGCACCCCGAACAAACAAAAATAGTAGATGGAAGGAAATTTACTGACGAGCAAGACATAGACAAGTAGAAAAAAGGTTGGGCTTCCTTTATAAACATTAAAATTCAAATGAAATCATCATTATCGTATAAAAATCAACTTTATTATTATCACAATTTCATACAAATAATAATAACCTACATCAATAATTATTACAATTTATGATAAATATTCGGTGACCGTATATCGTATCGTGCCAGCGTTGTTTTCATCTTCATCATCGTAAACTTCGACTTCTTCATCATTTTCATTTTCATCATCGGATTGAATTTCTTTCTTGGATTCTCGGTAAGTTCCAGAAATTTTTGGATTTTGATTATTTTGGAAATTCGACGAATTCGGAGCGAACTCCTCGAGTAATTTCTGTTGGGCGTGTTTCAGTTCCACTTCCTGGGAAAAAAATAAATGAAATTTGGTGTGAAAGCCACAGCAAAGCGTGGCCGGGTATGCTAGTATATATAAATATATATATATATATATATATATATATATATGTATATCTATATATATATATATATATATATATATATATATATATGTGTTTAATTCGAGTTTAAAATTCGGGCGTAACATCAATAAAAATAGTATGAGAGTTTTTTTTAAATTTATTTATTTAAAATGCATACGTTTCGGCTAGCATCTTAGCCTTCATGCAGTGGCAATCAATTTAAAATTTTGTGTCCTAATTCATATGTTATATTAGGATACAAAATTGTAAGTGTCCTTATTTTTATTATTATTATTTATCTAGTTTTAATTTTTATAGTTAATTTGATTACCACTGAATGATGGCTAAGATGCTAGCCGAAACGTATGGATTTTAAATAAATAAACTTTTAAAAACTCTCACACTATTTTTATTGATGTTACGCCCGACTTTTCAATTGAAATTAAAAACAAAAGGTAAAAGAAACTCTACTGACGAAGAAACTTAAACAAGACAAATACGATATTTAGTTTGCTCGTTAATAGAGTTCCTTCTTTAATTATCTGTCTGGATTTTTAATTTGCTCGTCAGTAGAGTCCTTTGCTAATTTTCTATCTAGATTTTTATTTTGCTCGTCAGTACAGTTCCTTTTTCTAATTTCTGTAATTTGTTTGTCAGTAGAGTCCCTTTTTCGTCTTGTGATAATTTGCTCGTCTGTAGAGTCCTTTTTTTAATTCTGTCTAGATTTTTAATTTGCTCGTCAGTAAAGTTCCTTCTCTAAATTCTATTTTGATATTTAATTTGCTTATCAGTAGTGCCCCCTTTTCACATTTTTTCTGTTTGTCATTTTTTTTTTAAATTACTATTTCCTTCTAGTTAGTTCATTAGTATATTTAGTTATAACATAATAAAAGAAAGGAACTCTACTGACGAGAAAAATGCAAAAAAAAAAGAAAAGAAAAAGTAAAAGAAACTCTACTGACGAGGAAACTGAGACAAGACAGAAAGAAAATATATATCTAGTGATATTCTACCAAATAAAAAAAGTAGAAAGAAGGACTTTACTGATAAGCAAAAATAAAAAAGGTGTCTACTTACAAGCAAAATAGAGTTTCTTTGAAATGAAAAGCAACATTTGCTACTGATGAGCAAATTAAAATAAAGGGACTGACAAGCAACATGAAATAAAAAGAAGCAAAAGAAACTTTACTGACAAGCAACATTAAAAAAAAGAAAAATGGACTCTACTGACAAGCAAAATTCTAAAACAAGAAAAAGATCCTCTACTGATGAGCAAAATTAAAAAAAACAAAAGGAACACTACTGACGAGCAAATATAAAAAAAACAAAAAGGACTCTACTGACGAGCAACCTGAAATAAAAAAGAAGCAAAAGGAACTTTACTGACAAACAAAATTAAAAAAAAAACAAAAGGTACTCTACTGACGAGCAAAATAAAAAAACTAAAGGGACTCTACTGAAGAGCAACATTAAAAAAAAGATCCTCTACTGATTAGCAAAATAGAAAAAAATGACGCAAGGGACTCTACTGACGATCAAAAAGTATAAACAAGGAAAAATATCAAAGACTCGAACTTAAAACCGCACAACTTCACAAATATGATATGAATATATATATATATATATATATATATATATATATATATATATATATATATATATACACATATATATATAGGGTGGCCCTTAATATGGACACTTTCGAATTTCTTTGCTCCCAAGGGCTCAAACGCTTCCAAATTATTAAACAAAAATCCTCCGAAAGTTTCAGCTTTTAGTATTAACATTTAGGTAGTCCGCCATGTTAATAACGAATATACGAAACTTTTAATTTAATGGCGGACTATCTAAATATTAAGATTAAGACTTGCAATTTTTACAAAATTATCTTTTATTACTTTAGAACCATTTAAGCCCTTGGGAACAAAAAAATTCGTAAGGGCCACCCTTATATATACACAAATTCCTTTATCCTTTACCCCTTACATTCATTAATATCATTGCGGACCATCTTAGAAATAATATTAAGACTTGAAATTTTCAGAGAATATTCTTTGATCTATTTAGAAACTTTTGAGCCCTTGGGAGCCTAAAAATTCCTAAGGGCCACCCTTAAATAATACATAATATCTAAAATATACACACAGATTCCCTTATTACCCTTACCTTTCGATGTTCCTCCTGTTCTTTTTGCAAAGCCAAGATTCTAACAAAGTCAAACATTTAACAGGGCCATTGATTGACGGCGGGGGAGTGGCTGCGGTGATCTCGAATTTTTTTAGTTTTTGACACCGGGTTAATTCTTTGAAAGGGTTGTGTACGTCGGATTTCGTAGATTTGTAGGGTAAAAATTTGGGCTTGAGTTCTTTTTGGGAATTTTCATCTTTTTTGAGAAGATATTTCACATGAGGCAATAAAGATAAAGGACTTTCTTTAGGTAAAGATAAATGATTTTCTTTAGATAAATTATTTTCCCCTGTAATATCTTGTAAGTCCTTTACCGTAATTAAGGGCTTTTCGGGTACAATTTTTTTAATCTGTTTTTTATAAGGGCCGTTCCTTGCCAGAATTTTTAATGTTTTATCATCATTATCATTATTATCTTTATTATCATCGTCGTCGCTATCAATATATTCATAATCCTGGCCCTTTTTGCCCCATTCGATGTCCTCAAGGACATATTTTTTCGAAATTTCGAGTTTCAACAAATCCTGGCACGTTTTTTCGACTAAATCTTTGCTTTCCAGCTCCCGCACTATTTTGTCGTGGAATTCTTGAATTTTTGCACCCTTATCGGGCAGTTTTGATATGAATTGTCTGGAAAAAGAAAAATGTAACCTCTAAATGGTAATAGATATATGTATATATGTATATGTATAAAAGAAATTGGTAATAGATATCTAGTATATATGTATAAAAGAAAGAAATTGGCATTGGATACCTAGTATGTATGTATATGTATTTTGGTCGGTGGTCCTTAATATGGATAGGATTTTTTTGCTCCCAAGGGCTCAAATGTTTCCAAATTGATAAAAGGATATTCTCTGAAAATTTTAACTCTTAATATTAACTTTTAGATAGTCCGCCATTCAATTAAAAGTTCCGTATAATCATTATTATCATTGCGGACTGTCTAAATGTTAATATTAAGACTTGAAACTTTCATAGAATTTTTTTTCATCATTTTGGAAGCGTTTAAGCCCTTGGGAGCAAAGAAATTCCAAAATGTCCATATCAAGGACCACCGTAATATATATACAAACTGACACGCAAACGTTGTTTTGCCATAAAAAATACTTCCAGTATAAAATTTTTAGTATAGAAATGACTAACTAATTGAAAATGTGGTGCATTTAATAATAAATATATGAAAGCTGCAAAGCACGCCACATATGAATGTCTTAATAGTCTTTGCAAGAGCCAAATTGAATTGGCACATTTAATGTTTTAAAATTTTTGATTGATTTTCAATTACAGATTACGTTTATTCTATTATATTGTGCTTGTCAGTAGAGTTTTAGTTTGATCATCAGAAGAGTTCTTTTCTCAATAGAGTCCTTTTTATCTCGGTTTTCTTGTCAGTAGAGTCCCTTTACTCTCTTTTTTTTATTTTTCTCGTCAGTAGAGACTCCTAAGTTCCTTGACTTTTATTTCGATTTGGTTGTAAGTAGAGTCTTTTTTTCATGTATTTCAGTTTTCTTATCAGTGGAGTCGCCCTCTTTCAGTTTTTATTCTATTTTGGTTGTTAGTAGAATCCCTTTTTAATTTTGCTAATTTCATTTCGAAGAAATTATATTTTGCTTGCTAGTAGAGTCCCTTTTTCATGTATTTCATTTTAGCGAAATTCTTGTTAGTTGAGTCCCTTTGTTTTAGGTTACTTGTCAGTAGAGTTCCTTTCTCTTTTAATTTTAGTTTGCTCGTCAGTAAAGTCCCTTTACTATTTTTTTATTTTTCTCGTCAGTAACCTCTTTATTATTTCCTTAACTTTTATTTCAATTTATTCGCTAGTAGTCCTTTTCTCTTTTTTATTTCACTTTGCGCGTCAGTAGCGTCCCTTTCTCCTTTGCTCGTCAGTGGAGTCGCCTTTCTTTCTACTTCTATTTTGCTCATCAGTAGAGTCCCTGTTTTAATTTTGCTAGTCAGTAGAGTCATTTCGATTTAAAACAAATATTATACTTGTTAGTATTTTACATGTTACCATTTAAAAAAAATCTCGCCAGTAGAGTTTATTTTTTTCGTCAGTAGAGTTATTTTTTACTCTATTTTGCTTGTCAGTAGATCCCTTTTTTGGAATTCTGCTTCGTCAGTAGAGTCCCATTTTATTTTATTCTAGTTTGGGCGTCAGTAGAGTGTTTTTTTTACTTATTTGAATTCTGCTCATTAGTAGTATTATTTTATTCTTTTATTTTAGATTACTTGTAAGTAGAGTCCTTTCTCGCTTTTTTTTAAATTTTGTTCGTCAGTAGAGTCCTTTTCCTTTACTATTCAAATTTCCGCGACAGTAAAGTCCTTTATTCCTTCTTTGAAATATTTCAGTTTGCCTCTAATTTTTTTTTCATCTAATTCTAGATTGCTCGTCAGTAGAGTCCCTTTCGCCAAGTAAAGTAAGTTTTATTTAGTTAATTAATCAGTTTCCTTTCTTATTTATATCTTATTTTTTCCTTTTCTTATTTTTTTTTTTAATTTCTGCTTGCTCATTAGTAGGGTTCTTTCAGATTATCAAAAACTGGTGGAAATTCAAAAAAATACCAAGCTGAGCACTTTTCAAATTTTGTATATCATATATAGTTAATAACAATTATTAAAAAATTACCATCTAAGCACAGTCTAGGTGTTTACTTCTCACAAATATATTAGCAATTGAATTTAGACTGTTACTGTACATCAAAACACTTTATGAATTTTGTAAAATATTTACAAAAAAAATGCAAAAAAGGAGACTGTCTAGGCACAGTCTAAGTGGCAACTTGGTAGAAAAATATTTGCAAGTGCGTTTAGATTGTTACTGTACTAGACCGCTTTTCCAATTTCATGTAAATTATCATGAATGTAATTTTGAATTAAAAATACAAAAAATTACCCAGTCTAAGCGACATCCCGGTACCAATGTTTTCACAAGTGCGTTTAGACTGTTACTGTAGTAATGGAACACTTTTCAAATTTTATGTTAAATATAAAGAAATGCATTTTTGAGCTAAAAATTCGAAGAATCAGACAGACTAAGCACAGTCTAAGTGACAACCTGGTACAAATACATTTGTAAGTGCTGTAAGACTGTGACTGTTTTGGAGCACTTTTCCAAGTTTATGTTAGTAAGTATAGAAAGGTAATTTGGAGTGAAAAATTAGAAAAATCAGACAGACTAAGCACAGTCTAAGTAACAACCTGGTACAAATATATTTGCACGTTCGATTAAACTGTTACTGTAATGGAGCACTTTTTCAATTTTAGGTAAATAATATAATAGAAATGTAATAATCAGTTAAAAATTATAAAAAATCAGCCACACTAAGCACAGTCTAAGTGACAACTTGGTACAAATATATTCACAAAGTGCGTTTAGACTGTTTTTGTACTAGAACACTTTTTCAATTTTCGTAAAATTTATTGAAAAATGTAAAAATGCCGCCAAGCAAGACACAGTCCAAGTGAAAATGTCACACAAAGTTATTTGCGGATGCGTTTAGACTGTGACTATGCTGGAGCAATTTTTCAATTTTGTGTACTAATTTTTTTGGAAAAATTATATATATATATATATATATATATATATATATATATTTATATATATACACATATATATATACATATATCTATTATTACTTGTTTCGGAGTAACTTCTGTTGACGTTCAAGGAGCTCCTGCAACTCCGGTTTAGTTTTGGAGCTCAAATTATCAATAAAGCCTTGTTTTTCGCCATCAGGACGCGAAATGAGCATCCCGGGGATCTTGTTTATGATTTTGCGATCTGTGAGACTCATTATTCGCATTTTAAGGAGCCCCCAGAGAAAAAATAATAATTAAACTTTGAAGCAAACTGTGAGTAAAACACTAATTAATAACACTTTTGAAACATAGTCTTATGATAATTGGTTTATTTACTAATTAATTTGTATAAATACACTTAAAGAACGTTTTAAAATGATTATTGGATAAGTAAAACTTTGTAAAACTAATATTGGATAAGTAAAACTAGTTTTTGCGCAATTTATTTGTTTTGAGGTTATGTTTGTGGTTTTGTTCGAGAAACGTCAAATCGTGAAAGCGGTGCTGCCAGCTGTGAAGTTTATGTTGAACTTGTGCATCTATTTCAAACATGGCGCCGAGGATTTTTGTAAGAAAATTTTACTTAATTTTTATTTAACAGTAATATATTAATTATTGTTTACACTTTTGTTTTTTAAATTACACTTTCTGTACTAAAAATCTGATTAAAAAGTAAATTACTGTTAATTGCACATACTAAACTTGACAGTTTATCAAAAATGCAGTGGTACCATCTATGCGGTCACATGCAAAACACAATACGTTGCAATTTTATTTGTAATATTTTGCAAAAAAACTTGTCTAAATAGTTGTAAATATAAAAATAAAGTAACTGGTTGTTATTTGCGTTTAATAATAAGTACTCACTAGTCATATAATTTAAAGGAAAATACCTCAAGAAAATACATATAATGAAAAGGAAAATACCTCGAGATCTAATATAGTTTATTTTTATATTTATATATTTTTTCTCTTTATTTGTCTTTAGTTTTTTCTTTTTTATATATTAACTATAGTAGATACACCACTGGGCGTATCTACTAAATTGTAAACAATCAATTGTAAACACTTGTCAGCATTCTTTGCTAAATATAATTATTTTTATAGATTGCAGAATGGTAATAAAATTAAAAAAATATAATTTAATAGCCATGTATATCAATAATACCATGTGCAATAACGTGCATATCGTTATTATCGTTAACATTGTTAAAAACAATTTTGCAAACATTCAAAGTTCTGCCTTTATTAAATACCAAAAATTTTATATATTTGAAAATAATTAATTAATAAGTAATAAATAATACTACACTACTATTACGAATAAATACCATAATTTTAATAAGTTTTTTTTACCATTTTGACAGTTCCTCATTAAATAATAGTGTCGCCATCTATATCCATCCCGTTTTACTACTCAATGTCTTTGCTTCTCCATGTTGCAATTTCTGTCATTGCAGTTTTAACGAGCACGTGTTTTAAATATTTTCGGAATTTTTGCAAAATTTGAGGCTAATATTCGGTATTTCGGTATGAAAAGTGTTTTAAAATATGTAGTAATTAGTGTAGTATATTATGGTTTTTGTTAAAATGCATGTCGTGTGTTTAATTAGTGTTTAAAAGTGGTTTTTAGTACCGTGGTAGTGTGGTTGATTTTGGCGGCCTTGTTGGGGTTCCTACGACAAAATGGTGAGTCGATTTTATAATAATTATCATTACTCTAGTTTATAAGGTTTAAAGCTGCTGTATTATATTCATATATACAACTAGTTTTATAGTTAGTTTAATTTTAATATTAGCATAAATGATTTTGTAGGATTTTTATAGATGGTGGTCGAAATGATATTAAATGTTAATTTTAATGTTATTACGTAAGATTAAAATATTTCTTAAGGATTCTCAAAATATTTTTTTACATATTCAAATAATTTTTTTTTTGATTTGTTCAAAATATTTTTATGAGTTTTAAATATTCCTAGTACAATTATTATTAAAATACTCTTAGAATATTTTAATTTCTTACTATTTTAATATAGGTAATTTATTCATAGATTTTATTATATATTATTGTATATATATATATATATATACAATTTTTATATATATTTATTATATATATTAAATTTTTCAAAATTATGGATTCATACTTAGATTATTTTATTATACTTTTTTTTGTAATATTTTTAATTTTTTTTTTGAAAATTTAAAATATTCCTGAAAAACTCTTAATAAATTCTTTTTTACAATAATGCTTAAATATTTTAAAATATTTTTATAGGACTTTCAAAACATTCTTATAATTATTTTTAAAGGATTCTTATATGATTTTAAAGGGATTCTTATAGGATTTTTAAAAGGATTCTTATATGATTTTTAAGGAATTTTTATATGAACTTTGTGTATATTTTTAATATCTTCTGAAAGAATGTTTTTGTAACATTTTTCATGTTTAATTATTGTTAATGATTTTTATTAATTCTGCGAGATTTTTGGAAAATTTATACTCTTTTTTAGATCATCAGAGTTCTTTTTTTTGTCTCGTTTCATTTTTGGTCGTCAGTAAAGTCCCTTTTAGCCAGTAGATTTTTTTTTTGGTCTCGTTGGTTTATTTTACTCGACAGTAGAGTTCTTTTGTTGTCACGTTTCATTTTTGTCGTCAGTAGGTTTCTTTATGGTCAGTAGAGTATATTTTGTCTAGTTTCATTTTGTCCGTCAGTAGAGTCCTTTTTTATCTCGTTATATTTTGCTAGTCAGTAGAATTCTTTTTGGTCTCATTAAATTTTGCTTGTCAGTAGAGTCCCTTTTAATCAATAGATTTCTTTTTTTTGTTCTCGTTTCATTTTGGTTGTCAGTGAAATCCATTTTAGTTAGTAGAGTTCTTTTTTTATCTAATTTCATTTTGCTCCTCAGTAGAGTCTCTTTTGATCATGATGTAGATTTTTCTTTTTGGCCTCGTTGGTTCATTTTCCCGTCAGTAGAGTTCTTTTATTGTCACCTTTTATTCTGGTCGTCAGTAGAGTCTATTTCAATTAGTAGAGTTCATTTTTCGGTTTCAAT